AATGTTAATAAGCCTAACATTTTAAAAAATAAAAAATAAAAATTCCAAAGCCTTTACTGGGCATGCAGTAGCTCTGCTCCCTTGTGTTAACCATATTGTGTATATAATATACCTGCACCATTCCACACAAAATATGTGCCCTTAACGAAATATTTGCACGTCTTGATACACGCACACACACATACACATACATACATACATATGCACACACACGCATAAGACCTTCCCAACAAATTAGACTAATTTTCTCTAGAAACTTTTCTAATTAGACAAAATATTTTTAGAAAATTATTTGAAAAAAATTGGAAGGTTTCGTTTGATTATTTAAAAATTATGTCAAATGGACGCAATTCAAGGTGGGAATTGAAAGAGAATAGTATGATTGCGAAGAAGCACGTAAGGGTTCCTCTAATCCAATTTCCAAAAGTCGGTATTAGTTGAGATATGAAACGTCAACATGAAACAATTAAATAATAAGTAAAGTGAAGTGTTTCAATCCATTGTTTTGGCATTACTCAGATGGTGCCGTTACTTATCACTTTCCCTCTCATTCGGGTCAAAAAAATTAAGAGTGATCATCTAAACTTTTATAATAAAAGGACGGTGAATATGGTCCCATGAAATGAAAGCCAATTTTATTCTTCCAACTCTTCTCCTCACTAAGTCTTACAAAAATAAAAATTTGAATGCAGAATTCGAGGGAGAAAGAGGAGACAGGAAGTATATTATGAATTGTTTAAACTATAGATTATATAAAAATTAGTGATGAATATATAAGTAGGAAATAATCATGCGTCACTCCAGATAAAAAGTTATTGAACGTTTATAAACTTGAGCCAAATATAGGTTTGTGTTAAAGTTTCGGTGGCTTGAACTAAAAAAGACTTGAAAATCGGCTGCATGCATAAAGTCTTATAAGAGATGGATTCATGTACGAGATTGCAATTTTCTTAGAGGTGATTAAGAAGATGCATTAAGCCTAATAGGTCCAAATGGACAATACACACACATGGATCATCAAATTTTAAGAAGTATTGAACTATTCTTTAAAGAGGACACGTATTTATTTATTTATTTATATTTAGTATTGAAGACGCTCTTTTTATGAGTAAATCATATCAAATTTTTTTATTTATTAAAACTCCAATACATCTATACAATTTTGATAAACGAGGGATAGCAAGACTAATTGAACTCAAGTAGAAAATTCATTTTTATTTTTAATTGCTTCATTTAAAAGTTTAAAAGTTTCAAAAAGTAGCACATTTATTTATTTAAATTTGGCATTCTAGACGGTGCACAGATTACAAAGTGTGTACAACTACATCAAATAACCTATATTGTGGTAACAGCAATTCAATTTGCTAAACATCCTATAGGAACCGAGAGTGCTGCAATTCCCGTACTGAGACACCATTGTTTGGAGTTCAAATTTCCCCAGTGAGCAATAATGGCCATGATCTCAATCAACCCCACCTCAAGAACAACAATTATCATCCCCACAACACTTGAAACTAACAAAAAGTTTTTATGCACAAAAGTTTTCTTTTTCTTGAACAAAACCATGGCAGTGATCAAACTGAAAACTTGACAGAAAACATAACAGTTATTGATCATGGTTTTCAACATTGATTCATCAGCTTGGCGAAAAAAAACTTTTCCCTTCATTTCGAGGATCATTAGAGTTGTGATTTGGAACAAGGATTGAACTGCTATGTTTCTCCACTTGTCCTGGTAATGAAAGGATCATCTGCACTATTGACAGCCGAGTCTCCAGGTATCTCAGCTATTCTTGTAGCCAAAGCTAAGGCACCAAGAACATCCATAATTAGATTTATCCACAGGACTTGAAATGGAAAAATTTGTTGTACCTCTTTCCTAGCTATTGCAAAGATGAAGTTGACAGTGAACGCAGTAATATTGAGAGTTAGTTGCAATTGCAAGAACTTTTTAATGCTTTCGCAGACGCATCTTCCCAATTTCATGATGGTAAAGATTGTCAAGAAACTTTTGTTCAAGACAACAATATCCGTATCATCTGCAACATTTAGGTCACCCATAAAAATTCCAACATCAGCTTCCTTTAGGGATGGGCAATCTCTAAAGCACGAACCAGATACTGCTACTACGTTATTTTTCTGTTTCAGGCACTGTACAAACTGTAG